AAACAGCAGTGAAGCCAGAAGCTTTAAGCACCCCTTGGAACAAATTCAAGTCTCATGTCTTTGCTACCTCCTTTCTTCTCTCAGTCAATGAAGTGAATACAGCCCTTCATTTAGGAATGAGAGGGATTCACAGATAACTCAATAGTCCTGTGACAGCTGCAGAGAGATTTTTTCCTTTCGTTATCTAATTACTAGGGAAATGGTCTTCCTGACACTTTGCATAAGCAATGAATCAGTTGGTCATTGTGAAAAAAAAAATCACTGTAGATCATTAGTCTCATTATCTTCTGAGGTCATAACTTCTCATCTGCTGTAGCTGAGCCTTATTTCCAATCCATCCATCTTACTAATTAACTGTCTTGTTGTTCCCGATCTACTCTGTAGTAACATCTATGTTCAAAGGTTTGATTTCTTCTCCAGAGCCTCCTAGCCCTTCCCTCTAAGTCATTTATAGTTAACTTAATATCCCACAGCCTCCTTAACTGCTTAAGTAGCTTTTGCCCAGCAACCTTGCATTTATGCTTGTACCTGTGATGCTTGAAGGGCAGGGCTTCCGCGGTGTCATGTTCTCCTCTAGAAAAGCAAATATTTCCTAATTTTAGGGACAAGAAAATTCAGTCTTTGTCCTTCTCCACGGGAAAGGGTCTTTCTGGTCTACGGAGTCAAATTGTGAATGTTTCATCCTACTGCCTAGTTTAACGGTGCCATGTACCCATGCTCTGCCTGTTCTCCTATACAAGGCATATAGCAGGGGATGATAGACTGTTGCAACTTTAAAAATAAAATCTTCTGGTTTTCACATTAGTTGGCACGGGAGTGTTTGTTATAACAAAACCATAACACCCTTGGAAGTCTCAGCAGACTGCTGAGATATCTCCTGATGCCTCTTCTGTGCCTAAAAACGGAAAAGGTAAGTCCGGATCTAAGCCTTGGTCTCCTGTGAGACTTCACTGTTAATTTAAAGGTATTATCTTTTTCAGCTTTTACGATACCAACCTAACTTTTCCTAAATGCTATTAAAATATGAAAAATCAACACAACCCCCCCCCAGTAAGGCTATTTGAAGAGCCAAGAGCTTCAAAATGTAAAATTTTTACAAAGGATATGAGATTCATGGAAACTTTTTGCAGCTTCAGAGCTTATTACCTGGTGCTGCTGGTCAGATTGCTTTTGCTGGGAAAATGTTAACCTTTATGACCAGGAGAGCATGAGAGCACAGGTGGTGTTTGTGCTTTTGCCATACACTTGATTTGGTTGCCTTTTATTTCTCTTGTGCTGGTATAAAATGTGCCCCATCCTCCCCAGCTTCGCTGTGAGGATTGCTTGGTATTTGGTCTTTACAGTGATGATAAAAGAGGGCACACCCTGGCCCTCCTTGACAGGAGAAATGGGGAATCTAAGGTTGATGTTTTGTTAATATGACTCTGAATATGAATTTGGGCAAGCTGCTGAAAAGCTAGCTAGTGTCTGCAAGGCACTGACCATTTCACATAGCATCCTGAATTCTGCTCTGCTGTTGTTATCCTGAGCTTGCTTCTGGAAAAGCAATACTGCCTGATGCAGTCCGGTTTTGGAAAGAGTTCCTGATGGCCATTTTACAAACTGTTACTGAAACAAAGAACAATACACAACCAAATGAAATGTGGTGCATCAGTTAAGTAGATGCAACATGATGAAAACAAATGAAACCATCTGAAAAGTGAGTTGAACAATTACTTCCATTCTTCTTTTCTAAAAATCACTGTGTACAGTAGGGTAACATCTTGAATAGTTAAGTGCCTCTCAAATACAACATACAGGCAAAACAAGAACAGTCCTTCAATATTAAAAGCATTCCTATGCATAAGCTAAATTCAAGACTTTTTATTGTCAAGACGCACTACCATTATGCTACATTTTAATATGGATCTTTGCCAACAATCATAAATAAAACACTCATAAACAATTCCTAAAGGCAGTGTGTTGGATGGTATTTCATTTAAAAAAAAACAACACTACAATGTAGTGGAATACCGTAGGCCTTGGCCAGTTGGGACTTTCTCTTCCCTGCATTTCTCTAGGTGTTTTGTTGGTTCCCAAAAGGCTTTTTAGTTAACGTATGCCATGCCTACTAGAAGATCCTTCTTGCTAATGGATGAAAAAGTCACAGCTAAAAGGTAGAGAAAATCAGTGCCACTTTTAAGAGATGTCTAATGTGGGAGATCTGTAAAAGGTGTCAGGGCAAAAAAGTTGGAAAAGACATAAAAAATTGTAAATGAGTTACAGAATGGTGACAAGAGAAAATTCTTGTTAAGAAGCTGGTGGTTACATGAAAATTGTATTTGCTAAATACTTTTAAAGATTAAATCCATAAGTGACAACATATTCAAAGGTACTCATCCCTGTTATGTAAATTCTGAAATTTTCATAAAACAGAAAATGTAACTTGACACTTGATATTCTTAAAAATTCTGCTGTATGGATGAAAGAACTGGACCGCCTTTCTCAAACTCATCAAGAAGCATGTGAAATAAAAGATGAATGTGTCTCTGTTTTTACTGGACCGCTGTGGTGGTCATAGCAATAAACAGTCTTAAAAGGTTTTAATTTATAAAGTAACCTCCTGGTTTTTCTGTTCTCCTAACTACTCCTGTATTCTCAGCAATTAGCAGCTCACCGCATAGATTTGGAAGTGTAAGGCTAAATTACTTTTACAGAAAGCTGCATTTAGTAACTCATTGCAAGGCTGACATCACTGAAACAAAACTTCAGTCATGTAGGGATGTGGCAGAGGTTATTGTGCAGCACATTACTAATATACTGGGGGGAAAGATTATGTCAACTGCCTGCTAGTGTCCACATCCAGGATGCAATCATCCCAGGGGATAAACACTCTTGGCAAGCACTAAAACCCAGAATCTCCTTTGAAAAACTGTTTGCAATTTGCAGCCAAAGCTATCCACAAACGCTCGGACCTGAGACTACAGTCCTTGACAGCACACGGCTCCAGACATTTCCATGGGGGAAGTTTAATCTACACGGATGTAGAAATATAAAACAAAGTTTTGCTCAAAGTAACTGTTTGTCAGATCATGTGCCTCTAATTTGGTTTCCAGTGACATTACACAGCTGCAGCCAATGGATTCCAGCCAGGCCCAGCAGTCACTGAGGTTCTTTTTGGTTTAAATTTAGTATCTGAACATGTTTTGCCCATCATTAAAATGGAGAGTAATTGCTCAAAAGTGAACCATAGATGTTATAACTGCAAAGAACTTATTAGGTCACTTAGTCCCATCCTCAGAGCAATGCAGAATTGAAAACACATTGCAACAAATACTGAACTGTGTTTGTTTTTTTCTTTCTTGTTCCTATTCTTTTTGTTTTCTCTTTATTGTAATAATTAATCAGTATATTCAAAAGTTTAAAAAACAACCACAAATGCCAGTGTAAACATGCTTCAGGTATATAAGTAACATAAAGTATTGCACATACAAAAGTCCTATGTTCATTATCTGCTTATGGTGCTATTTCATGAGTAAGGGTTGTGCAGATGATGTGACTGTAATGAGCTAGCTGATCTTATTTCAAAAGCTGCTACACACAACAATTCAATATTTACAAAAGCTAGAAGCTTGCTGTCTTTTTCACAGGAGCATGATTTTGCCTGGAATGTATGGGATACAGAGGTGTGCAAATGTGGTGTGGGCTTGCTCTGTGGTGGTATTCATCAGCTGATCTCTCTAATCTACAAGGGGTCAGCTCAAATCCATTCAGGGGAAGGGTGCTGTTAAAGGTCTTCTGGGAAGAAGAAACCGGGAAGTGGTCAGGCCTCTCCTGTGTCTCCTCCTCTCGTTAAGTCTCATGGTCACACAGCATCTGACAAGCTAAAGACTCCATAAAGGTCTTCTTGCAAATTTGCCTTAAATATGATGATGGAACACACCTGCTCAAGCTCCCTCCTCCCGCTTGGATTTCACAGGTCAACCTGCATGCAAGAAATGGTAAAACTGTAAAATGTGCTGTCAGACTGACAGAAGGGACAGTATCTCAGGGCTAGTCCTGTCCTGAAGTCTCAGGGCTTTTAGTTATCTAAAAGGAGCCAAGCAGTGGCAGAATGGATGAGGCCATTTGCTGATTAAGAAGCTGAGATGGATTAGAAAGAAAAGGAGCTGAGGAAAAAGAAAGTGTGGTGCATGTTTCAGAAAATGAACAATACCTCCTGAAGTTTACACAATATAGCTAATTTCACACTCACAGGCAACACTCTAAGACTCAAGCTTTCAGGCACAAATTTGCACAGATCAGAGCTTAGAGCCCCTGCTGAGATAAGGACCATTTGCTGACAGAAGAAAAAGAATGAAGCCTCTCTTCTTCAGAATCCTCGATCCAGAAAAAAAAATCCTAAATGTATATTTTTAATATTTACCTCAAAATATCTTCCTTCTTTTTGTTATTTTTTTTCTGCATAAATACAAATCCTGCCCACCTTCCCTGCAAGACTTTGCTTAAGAAATAATTACATTCAGCCCTAAACTTTGCTGAAATCAACACTTTAAATATGCTGCCAGCTTGTAGAATGTAAAGTAACAACAACAAAAAAAAAAAAAGGCAAAGATTTTTTTAGGTGAACAAAGTCTACAACACAAATTGAACAGAAGATACACTAGCAGTAGCCATTCCATTTTAAGAGGCCATTTCAACAAAATAACAGGGCAATGGCAAAGTAAATTTATCCTAGCCCAAAACCCCCAAGCCTTCTCAAGATCACCAGTGTGGCTGTGATAATTTAAATCAGTGTTTCACAAATGACTGTATCCTGTGTCAGCTGTACAGGTGTCAGCCATCAGCAAATGCATTAGGAGGATAATGCATCCCCTGCTCTATACTGTGCATGGATTTAGTTATCTGGGTGTGATACTGCCAGCTCTGGGTTGAAAGAGATACAACATGTACTTGTTTATCATATGTCTCATTTTGTAAAATGTTGCATAAATCTTCTGCTTTGCGAAACATCTTGTAGACAAGAAAGATGTGTCCTGTGTGTACAATGGGCTTACTTTTCTATTTACATGCAAGGTAAGTACATGATTTCTGTTTTTTTACTTTCTTCTCTCAAAATCTAACAACTTGATGGTTATATCAGATACTTATCCCAAAAAGGTGGAAAAAATAAATAACTGTGCCCCATCTATAAAGTTCTTCATAGACTACCTTTGTTTTTCAGAAGTACTTTCACAGTACTGATATATTGCTTGTCTCCCTGAGCCATAATTTCATAAAAGTTCTTATTCTTAGGGAGGTGTCAAAGGTATTCTGCATGATACAGTAATGTTCAGAAGTTTTGTCCTGGCCCATCTTCTAGACAATACAGCAACGCAGGTGTTCTGTCCTTGGGAGATTTGGGCTTGTTCTGGAAGCATCTCAGTATACCACGTGTTCAAAGGCATCTGCTGAAACATAGACTGACTGGAATATGGGATAAACATTCTGTTCAGTGGTGAGTATGTTTGTAAGGCAGTGATAAAGCTGCTTTCTTTGGCAAGGATGGCCATCATGTGGTGTGTTCTCAGAACGTTGCATAGATCAGATTACGACACCATGTCACTTGCAGGTACAAAGGAAGATCAGTGGAAGGAATCCTTCATTTAATCCTCATAGTGTTTCTAGTCTCAGGCAGGATTCTGATTTGAACTGTCACTCTCTTCCTCTATGCATCAGTAGTCTTGTTATTTGTCAGTTGTTCCCGGTCAGCCATGTCATCTTGAGGAGGTCTAGCTCTGTCAAAGAAGCCACACTGCAGAAAACGATCAATAGAAACAAAGGCGTCATGGTAAGACAACCACTGGAAGACTCAGCTGCAGTTTGATTCTTCACTCAGTCAACCTGAAAGGTCAGGTACAATCTATGGCAGGCTGATAGACTAATTTCATTTCAGCAAGACACTCATTCAGAAAAGATAGTTAGATTGAAAAATAGTAATAACAACGGAGGTGGAATATGTGTCGGGAAATGTGCACAGGACAGTGTTGTGACCTACAGATCACTAAGCATGAGATTCCTCTCACCTAACTTTAACTGGGTAAAAGTTACCCGTTTAGTCAAAAGGTTGAAAGTTACGTAGGCTTCACAAGAGGTCAAAGGAGAGTACTACCAAAAGGTAATTTCTCTCATCTTCCCATGTTTTAGACATAGCTTTTTGCTGCTGCTGTTAACTGAGTAGGCGAATCTGGAAAGTTAGCATAGGCTGCACACCTAACCCATAACCCTGAGGCAGCTAAAGGCAGATAAGCCATATCGTAAGTTAAGAAATTATTGTTTTTTAATGGGAACTGGCTCCCTGTAATATAGCAGTTTCCAGGAACTTGTCTTACATCTTGTGGAGGGAGTGTAACAACCAACATAGAACTAGAAAACTTTAAAAAACAGAAGATATGACATATAAAAGGAAATCTTCTAAAAATTAATTCTCAAAGCTAGGAGTGTTGTTACATGCTGACAAAAACTGGAAATTCCTGAAGTATTTGGAGAAAACAAAGTTAGAGTCACTTCTTTTTGAACCTAAACATCCTGAAAAGCTGATCATAGGTCTTGGGAAACAGAGTCAAACTGTGTATGCCCATTTATAACCAGACTTTAATAATAAAGGAGGACTTTGAAAACAAGTTCCCTGCGTAAAGGTCAGTGACACTAGCATGTCAGAAATGCCAAAACAAAAAAGACACATGTGTGTTGTTGCTTTTGGTCCAAACTGTTAAAGATCACAAAATTCCAGCCTCTCTTTTTCTTATCTGTTAGTATCTTCCAGTATCTTTCAGGGATTTTTAAAGCAACAGTAATAATGCAACATACCTTCCATAAGGCTAGGGTCAACATAGCTAGTACCAGTAGTCCGAGAAGTATTGCTAGTATTACAACCCATAAAGGGATTACAAAGGAGACATTTGGAGTGGACCAAATGACAGATGTTCTGATCTGAAATGAAAAGGATACATTAAATGAACAAAAATTAAGCAAGTAAAGCAAATCTGACAGTAGAATACAGAGTTTATAAGCATTCACTTCAATAGCATTTTGCAATTAGAAACACACATTGCTTAGAATTCTCCCATGTTGGCTTAATTTACTGCAAGTTCCTTTCCACTTCTTTATGATAATTACTAAAAATGGGATTTGCACATATACAGAAGTCTTGTTGTATCAGGCATACAAATAATTTTCACTTAATAGAGAGTAGCAAAGAATACCTTTCTGTGCAGATGCTTCAAGAAGATTCAAGGAGCAAAATTCTGCTTGCATGTATGCTGGTACAGCCTAGGCCAGCATAACTGACATTGAATTACTCTGAAACAATGGTTGACTTCAGCCCTAACTCTTAATTCAATCCACAACAGATATCAGCTGCATTATTCTTATTTTAATTGCTGCTGACACACCTGTATACATTTTTTTCTATGACTTGCATTTCAGCTAAGCAGTCCAAAATGCTTGAGTTTCATTCATGCTGATGCATATTTTTATTTTTTTTTATACTATCCCTCACTGTTATGGGACACAGATCATAGTTGAAATTAGGGACAAACTTTCTGTGTGGGATACCACTTGCCTTCTACCAAAACTTACACTGAGGGTTACACAGAAAATTCTGACCCTGCCCAATCATTCATTCACATTCAGCTAATATCCTTCTCTAGTGCAGCTGTAAATAGTTATTACTCTAAAAGACTTCAAAAAGATAGCATATACAAAGAATAAATATGTCAGACAATTAAAACAAGAAAAATTATTTCAAGGCAACCAGAATTAGTAAAACCCTCCATGAAACAGATATCATGATGTTGGGATCAAGTGATCAAATACACCACTGCAGGGATACCATTCCCTTCCTCAGCCTCCTTTTTGGATTGCTTTGTAACCACTGCAGAACTTCTTTCTGTATCATTAGATTCAGATTAGATAGGCTTTCTGTATCATTAGATTCAGCAAAAGCAGTGCTCATTTAGTAAGGACAAAATGGTTTTGAATGGCTCTCCTTGTGTCAGAGTCGTACTGTATCTAGCATTAAAATGCAAGGGCAGAGAAAATGAGAAAAAGGTCATCTGAACTGTCTGCAGAGATTCCTCTCAGTTAAGGAAAAAGACAAATGCAAGTAAAAGGCTTATCTGGCCAGGGAAATCAGAAGAGATGCAGGCATGATGGGTGACACGAAGCCTGTAGCAAGCCGTGAGCTCAGCTGTCCAAGGAAGAGAGCATCTCCCTTCTACTGCTTGAAAATCCACATGACTGCTGCCCTGAGGCAAGCCTTGAAGACCTTGTCACATATAGCACAAGAGTTGGGAAGTGCTGACAAAAATTCAATGGGCCCCAAGACAGCAAAACCAGATTGATTAAAAAACCCTTACTCATCCACACTGTGTACTTCCTCTGCTGGCAAAGGTTGTGGTACTACAAGCAAGAAGGTATAATTTGTTAGATTACTGTTTGAAAAGGATCTGAAACTATCAACATACAGTGTACATACCTTACTTATGTAAGGTTTGAGCTTCACTACAGTTTCTGTTCTAATACTATCACTTGTCTGAGGATGCTGCTGTGGAGCTGGAGCAGTAAAGTCATAGACCACTTACCACAATAATCTTAACAAATATTTGTGAACAACAGCAAAAAGAAAACCCAAGCAGGGCTTTCTGTTCTCTCAAGTTTAACAAAATTACTAACTCCATTTTACAGTAAGATCAAACCAAAGACCCATTTTCTTACAAAAATTTGATTTAACCATTTCTGGTATTGAGAGCTTGAGCCAAATTCCTAGGTGGCATAATGTGACTCAGACAAATGCAACAGGAAATGGAGTCAGCACCGTGGCTCTGGGCTGGACTGTACAACATCAGCAAACTAGAATGAAAAGACTCTGGCAAGCTGCTGGCCAGCTATGGATGGGTTGGTAGAGTGACAGTGTACTGAAATTGTACATCCTGAAAATGGAAATTATCAGAATGGGCAGGTACTTCTGTAGGAAGGATTTTTTGTTTACAGATTTCTTAAGATAGTAAGAAAAAAGAAAAAAAAAAAAAGTCTCCTTGGGCACCAAGTCCACTTCAATCTAATCTACGGCAATCATTTCAGCAACACAGGTGCTCTCAGATGGAGTGAGCTAAGCTGCTGCCTGGTGTTGTCTACGATCTGAATTGCTCATAGGGCTGCCTACTGATTGCACAGGGACACAGCAACTGGACTCTTACCTAATGTGTTTCAGTTCACTGCTCAGAATTAGGTGGGGTCAATCCAGACCTGAAAGCATGTTCGAGATCATAGAATGGTTTGAGTTGGAAGGGCCCTTAAAAATCACCCAGTTCCAACCCTTGTGCCATGGGCAGGGACAGCTTCCACTAGACCAGATATTGCTCAAAACCCCATCCAACCTGGCCTGCTGAAATCAGTAGAAACAATCTATTTCATTAGGGATGGTGGATTTCATTAAGCTTTGGATAAAGCTGACAATAGTATATGCAACTGCAAGTATCTATGTAGCCATTCCATGTCTTCTTTTATGCACTACTTCCCAGATGTTTGCTGCGTTTGTGCGCTGTGTTTTCTTTCCTCTTAGGCTGTGAAAACAGTAAAGTAACCTAGCTCTTCTTGTGATACCTATAGAGCACCCATCAGCATGGATCCAGATAGGGACATCTGAGTCTTCCTGAGGGCACACCATAGACAATTATGAGTGGTGTAGCAATGCTCAGCCTTGCTTCTATTGCATGAGTTTGCAATCCCCTCTCCTTTTTTTCTTCCATCATTCTGCCTTTACAGACAGTAAAGTGCAGTTTACAGTGTAATTTCAGTAGCTCAGCTGGAGCCTGACAAATGCTGAAATATAAACACGAAACCATAATCTTATAGAAGTGCAGAGCATCTTTTTTATAATCCTTAGATTATCAGCTATGAGTAAACCAGCTGAAATTAGGTCTCTCCTGTATCAAGCAGAATGCTGCTGCAAAAGTGCCGCATCTCTCTTCTCTTGTAGCAGGAGTGAGGCCAATGGCTAATGAAATATTTGACTGCTGAAATCTTAAAACCAGCTTGCCTCACCCACACCCTTCTCCCATGAATCCTTCTTTGTCTTAGGTTTTTGAAAGCAAGGGAAGGGCTGTGCTAAGTGCTTGAGATTTATTTCCCGAGCAGAGGATTATATGCAGTCATCAGTCTCACTCCTGCCTTTGTGCACTACCAATAGAATATAACACCCCTGGGCTGCCTTGCTTCATACTTGCAGGGCTACTAATGTAATTCCTGGTGAACCGTTTGACACTGCAAGTCCTGAACACCCACAGAGTTGAGGCAGAGGCTGGAGGGGAAGAAAGAAACAAAGCATCCCTTCAGCTTTGCCTGCCTCATTTCACCATTTCCACAGAAGACTGTCCCTCCTCCACCCCATGCTGTCCACAACAGTTTTACATATGATTTTGATTTAAGACAAGTTTGTTATTCAGCTTGGATTTCTGTTCTTCTCCATGTGGTAGGTTTAATACTGCCAGGGAACATTTTTGGAGGGATTTATCGGTTTTCATCTAAGGTGGCCAATATGAAGAAGTGGAATTTTTACATGTGTTGCATGTTGGCACTGTACCTCAGGTGCATGTTGGCTTTCCTCTCCATTTGGGGATAGAAGACTTTCTTATACTGAACATTGAAAACAGTGGTTGCTTCTCTGTCAGGCTGGTGAAAAGCACACCTCATGGACTTGAGAGGAGCCATCTGACTTTTGGCCTTTCACACTGCTGAACGTCTCACACCTTTTGTATGCAAAAGGATGACAAGGAATGCCACCTGGCTGAAGCACTGAGATGAGAGTGAAGCCAACTTCAGAGTTACAGACTGAGCCTTTGTTTGCTACTGGAAATAAAATCCAAGCTCATATTAGCATGGGCGCTGTCTGATAATCTTAACTTCGGAATCACTGTTGTGATGCAACAAAAGTCACTTGTTGCTCATGAAAGTATTTCTATAGGGGGGATTTTATTTTCTTTTTTTTAATGTACTACAGTTAAACACACTGTAAGTAAAGAAAATAAATCTTAGGGGGTTTGCCATTGATTTTTGTACAGTTTGGATTTTGCTCCTGAATTTGGTGCTACTCAAGATGACTTCAAAATTGTGTTTGATTCCACTGGAAGGCAGCACAATGCAGAAAGAAGCACGTGCAGTAAGCTGCCGGTTCATCGTCAGGCCTTTGTGGATAGATGGGAATTAGGTTTTACTGGTGCAAACATCCAGCATCAATGGTCAGAATGCAGTGCCTGCTAGTGAGATTCTCACAAAGCTATTTTTCCCCTCTTGTCCTTTCAAAGGCACACTTAAAAAATAAAATTAACTTCTTCATTGCTTAATATGCTTCTTTAAGAAACAGTAGCTAAATCATTATTCTAATGCTACCCCTTTTACTGCCCATGATGACCTTCCTCTAATCTTTACTCATTTTCCCTGCAGAGACTGAGAAACAGGGACTCTTTATTACTCCTACATGTTCCCATCTAACCTTTGCAGCATGATGTTCTTGTATGTTCTGAAAATATGCTCAAAAGAGAATGTAAAAACTCCCTTAAGCTTGGAGTCATAATTAATATTGACATTTGTTTACGTTACAAATATTTGTGCAAATATATTTCATAAGAAATATAAGCACATTTAAAATGAAAGTACTCATCACCATGTAATAGCTAAAAAAGAGTTAAAAGTCTTAGTCTGAAATCAGTTTTACTCACTGTAGGACACTGGTCAAAGAGTTAAAGGCATCCCCTGTGAACAGCCCATCAAGATTTAAGAAAAGCAATCATATTTTATTAAACTCCAAAACTGGCTCAAGAATCATAAACTAAAATGGAACAAATTACTGCTTATTCTATCTCTATAATTTTTAATAATAAAAAGCATTACTTCACCTTGTACATGAAATTCATAAAGTAGGATAGTATTATTTACCATAATAATACCTCTAAGAAAAAATTACAATTTTCTCTTGAATGATACAGCTGTTAGCAAGGAAATCCAATCAGTTGTACAATATATAGTTGTAATTCCAAGCCTATCAAAAGCAATAGAAATACTTTTATTGATTTCAGTGGATTTCCATTAAGTTCCAAGCTAATTTCCTATTTGATGCCATTTTCACTCTAATGTTTTACTATAAAAAATTTAGATTTTCTTACATTTACATAACCTTTCACACATCTATATAATGACCCTTTGTTCAAGATATAGACCTATATTCCATGATGATGGAAATAAAGACCTCAGTGATATAAATATGTAAGCACATACATACATGACTGTGTAGGCTACTGATGTGTACGGGATTATTTATACCATTGAAATTAAATATACATATCAGCCTGCAAAATTGGAATCCAAAGCTGTATGAGTTAAATGAAGGACATCATATGCTCTGTTCTTTTAGAATATATTCTCCTCACTATATAAACTGTAGGGTGTTAGCTGCTTATTAAAGATATACTTTTGCCAATTAATTTTAAAATATTAAAATCTTTATTCCACTTCCACCCTTACATTGTCTGAAAGAAAACCATAAACTTCCAAAGAAATCTTTGGAAACTTTTAAACACAAGGAGTGATCTTTTTCAGAAGGAGCAAAAATATTAAGCATTGCCCAACTTCAAGCAAATATTTCTTCTTGCAAGTGGAACATCAAAAGAGGTTGTGCATATAACACATCAAGCTGTAGAGCTGGCAAGCATCCACTGCCATGTCCAGAAATGAAACGACATAAAAGCGCTATCATTTTTCAACATTTTACAGTTGCCATTACAGGCATTTTGCTGTAAATCATCTGCAGCAAATAACAAGCATTATACTGGCTGGAGTAAGAGAATAAAATGCTTATCTGATCATTTGGTAGATCATCTGACACTTGTTGAGAACAGCAGGCTATCACCTGGGGTAAAGCACTTCAGTCCAGATGAAGGCACCACTATCAACAGAGTTCTGCACAACATGTGTTTCTGGTATGGAACACATGCTGCAAAAAAATAAAAAGAGCTTGAGTATATCTGTCAGCTTGGAGCCTTTGAACCTTTCTGGAGGAATACTGCGTTAAGCATCAAATCTCTCTGGTGAAATCGTGGTTCATCAAATCTCTCTGGTGAAATCGTGGTTGTCCTGATGTTAGAGGTTGAAGTCACTGAGCATATAGGACCAAGATTTCACCTTGTCTCTTCCCAGAGTAAGTATCAATTGCCCATTCAATCTGTGCTTATTCAAAACAAACCTACAGCCTGTATCCTCTAAAATATATTCAATATAAACTGTAAAGTGGTTTATTATGTTGGCTTTCCATATAAGAAAATATTCTGTTCCCTACAACTACATCTCAACATATGAGTACATGGAATACATGATATGATGTATTTGCAGCAGGATTTAACTGGGAAAAGTTTGTACTGAGCTTACCTTTTAAAAGAAGGACTGTAAATCATAAATCTTTACAAAGATGAGAACAATAAGCCTTTAAATTTCAGATTACTCTTATACTAGAATCAAATTTTGCACTCATATTTTGCTTATTTCCATCAGTAATGACAAAAGAGAGTGAACTTTAATCATGATGTTAGACACCATAAACAGCAAATTCTTTTAAATTGCTCCCCAAACTCAATGCTTTGGCACTAGCAAACAATTAAATCAAACTCACGCCTCCAAGATTAATTTTTAATATAATAATCCAGGGCCATACAAATCTCAATCTGCAAATAAAGCAAGTATTTTAGTATCTATCTATCTGTCTGTCTGTCTGTCTATCACATCTGTAGGGATTACCAGGTAATTTCGTATCTTGCACCTGATGTGCTGTGAAGTGGAAACCCTGGAGAGGCATGCTGACCTTTCTGAAAATCAGGGTATCAGGGTATCAAAGAAGCTTAACACAGATAAGAGAGAAGGTGCCATAGGTAATCCATAAGGTTGTGTGACTGGGAGAAGAGTGAGATCTCTAATCCTGACAGAAACAAGATTTTGAATTTTGTACAAAAAATTCCACCAGATTTTTTTTACCCCAAACAGGGTAATTAGACACTTGCTTTCACAGTTTTGTTGTTTTCTTCTGTGTGAAAAATCACTCTTGATTGCAATAAAGCATTCTGCACATTAATGCAGCTAGAAATTATTTAAAAATTGAATTAGTATCATATATCAGCAACTTCCACAGAAAGCAATAAAGGTATTTCCTTTAGGCATTATTCAGGAATTTACAGTAGATATACAGGAAAGACTGATCTCAATATTTTCATCTGTAAAAACTTTCACAACTGTGAACAGCATGACCAAATACATGTGCTTCACACAAAGATATCATTTTCAGTTACTTACTGCTATGCTTCCCTCAGGGAGCTTTGCTGGTTGCACTTTATATGGCATGCTCTTAACTTTGAAGGACACATTGGAAGAAAGAGTATAGAGATGATTCTTTCTCTGAAATTACATAAAAAAGTAAATTATTAAAAATCATGTTTATACTTGAAAGCATTATGAGAAATAAACAGAAAAAAAATAGAGATCACTGATTTCCTAGTTTCCTTGTTTCTTTTGGTAAATGGGATAGCAATCCTGGGACCTCTACGTATCCACAAGACAAATGCATAATACAGCATAAAGCTGAAATACAAAGACTGTATGTTCAAATGGGGAAGAAGGGTTAGATCTGCAGAAAGATATGCAGTTGTTTCTCATATTTCTCTCTGAAATAGGAGACTGGTGAGTTTGAAGTGGGGGGAGAGGTTTATGGGGTGTCTATGTTTTAAAACCTTGCCTCTGTTCACCAAGGCCAACAACAAACATGGCTATCTAGAGATTTCCAGGCTTACATCGAGACCAGGCTAGTAGAGCTCCTTGATGACATCAAAGGAATGGCTGTGCCTTCCCATCAAAGAACAAGACTAGGAACAAATATCTTCGCACTTCACTTAGACTGTGATCGATTTCCTACTAGTAGAGCTCAAAAACCCCACAACAATTCACCTTGCTTTTTTACTACATTGTGCAATTGCAATAACGAAGTATAGCAGTCATTGTTTCACTGGCTGCCTCGTAAAATATTTATATTGCTCTCATTAAGCACTTCAACAAACCCAAAGATGTGCAAACAAAACAAAATGTATCTCTCTGTCCGTTCTCTGTCTTTCATTTATACTTGCTTGTATTTATAAAATATTATTAGATTAGATTAGATTAGGTGTTACCTTCCCTGGTTTAGAATGACTAAAAACTGTTACATCATACAGCTCATGCTGTGACTTTTAATTAGTGCTTTCACCTCATTTGGAAGCCAGGCAGGCACTGACACACTACGTCTGACCAATTGTGTGTCTCATAGTGCTGTTCTGACCTTGACAATAATCTCCCACTCTGTGCAAACTGCCTTGAAATGATACTTAAGTGCTGGTATGAAGAATATCTGCCCAAATCTGTTATGAACTGGTGCAAGTGCTGACATAGGAAAGTGCATGTCCCTTAAGAGAATCTCAGTGGTTGCAACATTTACTACAAAGGATGCAAATATTTTCCACACATCTACTTCGAATCCTGTTGAGCTCTTGGCATTATCGGTATCTAACTGGAATTAGTTTTGAAAGTTAAGTACATCAGCTATTAAGTAAATCTTTCAGTTCACTTTGAATTCTACAGCTTGCTGAATGTTATTTTGTTACAGACAGAAAATCCTCTACTCTGTGTCCTCTTTTTCTTGTTTTTATCCCAAGGAAGGATGGCTGAGTGGTTACAATGCTCTATTAGAAGTCAACAAACCTGTTTCTAATTCCATCTCTGCAACTGATTTTTTGGGTGACACTTATCTTGTATATCCCATCCCATGTAAAGTTGGGGTAATGATACAGTTCTCTTTTAAAAAAGTGCTTTGATATGCTCTAAAAAGCATTAGATAAGTCCTAGGAGTTATGACTATCACTATTTCCCTTGCATTAGGCTCTTTGAGGTAAGCAATTTTAACCTTTTGTATGAGAATATTTTTGAAGCCCTTAATCATTTTTGCTACCTGTCTCAATCCTTTCTGAAGTATGATGACCAGAATTCAACACAGTATTTGACTACTGATTTACAGAAAGACAGAGCCTTGTAAGAAAACAATCTTTCATTTTGGCACCAGCTTCTTACAGTCCAGTGTATTTGGAATGTCGCTGTCGCCTCCTAAATCCCCTTCTGCAAAATTCTTTCTCCTTCCTTCTACTTCTCGCATATTTAGGAGTTCTGCTCCATTGAAAAGACTCGATTCCTATGTGATTACTCAACATCTTTTTCTCCCTGCTAGGTGGTGTTTTTCTCTGGAATTTCCTGTTGCATCAAGGGCATAAACCCTCTCTAAGAAATATTTCTCCCCTTTCAGCTGTTTTGTGAAGCAAAGACTGAGATACAAGACCTCATGATAATTTTGGTTACTGTTTCTTTCCTTCACTGATGGAGAAATGTTTGTTTGTGAACATGACCTGAAATAAGCATAACCTAAACCTGGGAGCCAATGTGGATGTAGTTGGATGTCCACGGCCCAACTCAAAGTTTTCACAGAAGTGCTGAAGTTGGAAGGCACCTCTGGAGATTGTCTATTCCATCCTCATGGTCAGAGCAGGGTCAGCTACAGGAGTATGCTCAGGGTCATGTCCAGCTGGGTTTTGAGTACCTCCAAGAACGGAGACTCCACAAACTCTAGGAGCAACCTATTCCAGTGTTTTGCCTACCCTCACAGTAAAAAGTTTTTTCTTATGTTTAAACAGAATTTCCTGTATTTCAATTTGAGCTTCTTCCCTCCTGTCCTGTTACTGGATATCACTGAGAAGAGCCTGGCTTTGTCTTCTTTACTCCTTCCTATCAGATGTTTATATAGACTGATAAGATCCCCCCGAGCCTTCTCTTTTCCAGACTGAACAGTCCCAGCTCTCTCAGACTCTCCTTGTGTATCAGATGCTCTAAGCCCTTAATCATTGTTGTGGCCCTTGGCTGGACTCACTTCAGTATGTCTGTGTCTCACTTGTCCCAGGGAGCCCAGGACTGGACACAGCACTCCAGATCTGTCTCACCAGTGCTGAGTAGAGAGTAAGAGTCACCTCCCTCGACCTGCTGGCAA